TCTTAAACAGTTTCTTTATGCATAAAATTGGGAGCCTGGAAATTCTCGAGAAGCATATAAACAATAGTATGAGGGACTCAAACATGTATCCTCAATATATTCAGGGAATTTAGGAACATTCTACTTGGGTTGTCTGGATATTAAATAGAAATACAGCTATTTACTATGATAGCACAATATAGATAACACAAAGGAAGGATTGTTCTGCTCTTAGGCCCCATTTACATGAAACCGGGATGAAGTCAAACTGGAAGGAAAATTGAAATTGTCAACATGTTTACATGAGATCAGTACAAAAATCACAAAATTTTCAATTTATTCCCCTTGTTAGGCAATTTTCTTGTTCAGATGGCTTTTGTTAGCATATGTTGTTCCAATGTCAAGGTTACAGCCAAGACCGGTCTGAAATGTATTTGTGTTTACATTCATGCCGGTCTGAATTCATGCCAGTCTAAAGTCAATCGGCTTGATCCAGCCGGCAGAATGACTTGAGACTGGTCTGTCGAGTTATTTTCATCCTGGTCGCTTGTGAACATCTATTATAGATCATACTATGAGCAAAACAAAATGGTCCCGGTTTGACTTTGTTGTGGTCTCGTGTAAACAGGGCCTAATACAAAGCCATAGAACTTGCTTTGGAGATTATACTGGCCTCTGTAGCTCAGTTGGTTAGAGCGCTGCACCGGAATCGCAGGGCCGTAGGTTCAATTCCTACCAGAGGACCTTGTGCTGCATTTTTCGCAGTCGTTCCTGGTTAGGTCTTAAAATGTATATATTCTCACTTGGATTACAAACCCTTACATTCTAAATTAATTCCACCAAGTGAAGTGCAAGAAAACCATCATTGAAGTCCACCTTATCACAACCCGCACACCCGATTACCTATATATACATGAGCTTACAGTTGCAGCTTAACAGCTGGCCTCTGTAGCTCAGTTGGTTAGAGCGCTGCACCGGAATCGCAGGGCCGTAGGTTCAATTCCTACCAGAGGACCTTGTGCTGCATTTTTCGCAGTCGTTCCTGGTTAGGTCTTAAAATGTATATATTCTCACTTGGATTACACACCCTTATATTCTAAATCAATATTAATAGCCATTGAGTCAACATTGATATCCTCTCAATAGATCAATCATCAATACATTAACAAATATAAATGTTTATATTGTTAACTTTAATGTATTGATCACTATTGAAAGGGTATCAATATTAACTCATTTAGCTAATATTTATCTAATCGCCAAAGCAAGTTCCATGGCTTTGTATGAGCGAACAATCCTTCCTTTGTGGGCCCTTGTAAATATAATTGTATATTTCATACCTTCTTGTAGCCTGTATAAATCATGATTTCGACAGTTCGACTTGCTTAGAACACATACTATGACAGTATTTATTGCTTGAAATTATAACCTGTCAATACAAAGCAATATCACTAAGTTTTAATGTATTTTAATAATATATTGTTGAACCAAATACAAAATACAATGCGGCCAACGGCAATGGCGGTTAAAATATACATGAATATATTGCTATTTATGGCACATATTTACACACGAAACTTAAAAATATTGACATAGTTGAGCACTTACATTTACAATTATTGTCTGAATCTTTAAACAATGGAGAATTTCTTCTTATTTTCTACTATAATTTAAGAAATCTTGGCTTTATCAACCGACGTTAAATTAAAATTTCCAAGCGACGCGCTAGAAATGTGCTCGCTAAGCCCTCTGGGAGGCCCTTCTGAAGGCACTGATCTCAATCATGTGAGCAATCCAGTGCAAATAAACCTGCATTTCTAAGTTTTTTTGACAGAGACTCTTAACTTTAAAATTCTAGCTGTCTTGTTATATCTCCCTTGTATGAACATATTTTGTCATCACCACACAATTTCTTTTCACTGCATATTTTTACTGCCGGTTTATCACTGCACACTTTCCTGACATCACTAACACCAAAATGACAGATTGCTTCGATTATTTTTTATTAGTTTTTCAATGAGGCCCTACAAGGATTACATTAAAAGCGATAATATGTAAAAATATGATCCTTTGCCCCATTTACTTGTCTAAAAAACGTAAACCGCTCCTACGTGGTCCGCCACTTTGAATCTGAAAACCGGTTCACGAGGTGCTATTTTGACACCCTAAGTTTAACTCTCAAAACGGTGCTACTTTAACACTTTCACTCAATAGAATGGGTGTTATTTTAACACCCTAGAAAAGTGTTAAATATCTAAGGTGCTAATTTAGCACTTCAAAATCAGTTCCCAACTTCATGGTGGGCTATCTTTAAAACAAGGAACGGGGAATCGGGGAATGGGAACGGGGAATGGGAACGGGGAATGGGAACGGAAGTGGGAACGGAAGTGGGAACGCGAACGGCAATCATAAAAAACATTTTAAAAAACGAATAAGTTCTTTGCATGTTTGCATGGTGAAAAAAATATAATTTATACTCTGTAGGCCTCGATCACGGATCGAAAGCTTTGTGTATCTACAAAGTACAAATTACAAAAAACGAAAAAGCAGCTGAACTATACATGCACATTCAACAAATTTATATCGTGCACACATTCTACTATGTTTAATTTATTATGATCTATGATAATTCATTGCTATTTTCGTAAATAGAATAAAGTTGAATTACAAGCACTGTTTATCGTTAGCCGCGAATGGCTCCCATCTTATATATATTCGGCTTTGTTTCAGCGGTATATCCCACACATGCATATATATATCAGCACACAGAAACGGTCTTTTATAATATTGCTAAAAGAATCATACATGCAAAGTGCCATCTAATATACAGGGTGTTCCAAAAAAACGAAAACTATTGAAATCACTAATAACAATTTAATTGTTAGAATTTGAATGTTTTAGCACTCTGTAGGTTCCCACGAGTGCATAAATGATTGACATCAGTACATTTTATGCATAAAGAAACTATTTAAGAAGCTGCTTTAAATTCCCAAGAGCAAAAAATCGTGCACTTTACAAGGAGATGTTCTTAACTAAATTTTAATACACGCACCTTGTCAATATTTTACGCATCATTACGTTCAGCTTTTTAGTAGGGCATTCAATTTTAACAATAAGTGATTTCAATGGTTTTCGGGTTTTTTTGGGACACCCTGTACAATACTACAATAGAACCTCGCTACCTCGAATGGGAGGCGAAGATTGTTTGAGTTAGCACATATTTGTGTTGGTCTGATGGATTTCGTTTGTTATTTTAATAGTATGGTTTGGAAATTTGTCACAGTTCTCAACCATTGCGGAGCGTTTTAATGAAATTGACTAACATTACCTAGCTTAACTACGGTAATATCATGGTTGCCTGAATTTCTTTTGATTTGCGGTTTGAATTAAACCTAGTATCACGTCATGCTAGGTGTATTAAAACTAATACAACCCCGTTTGAAGGAATTTCGGCAAGCATAATATTACAAAGTAACATGAAATTTTCTATTTAATAATCCAATTATTTTCAATTTCCGTTTAATAATCCCCTCTAATATTCACCTGCAATTAATAATCCCCTCTAATATTCACCTGCAATTAATAATCCCCTCTAATATTCACCTGCAATGTCTTTGCAGCACAAAAAATGAGAAAAAAACAACATCACGAAGGCAATTTGGCATTGAGAATTACTTCTATTCTGAATCACTAACGCAACCTCGCAATATGAAAAATAAGTACGTTATTTTGAGGCACCTTGGGGATATGTGTTTATTCACCTCGGCGCTACGCGCCTCGGTGAATAAATCACATATCCCCTCGTTGCCTCAAAATAACCTATACTAATTGTTTTTTCTCGTTCATATAACCTAATCAGCTGTATGGAATATGTATTAGTGCAGTGCGTGCGCGATATATTGAATTACACAATGTCATGCCTTTATGCCTTGGCGAGCAACCGTACCTTCACAACCACTGTTGTCTGTTAATCGAACTTCAGTAGCATCACCTCAACTAACCTTGCACAGAAATGACCAAGGTACCAGTCTTCCTGCTAGTGCTCGCTTAGTACAGCAACAAAGTTTTTTTCCACCTTCCACCGTTCCCAGTCAAGGGAACTTGTTCAAATTAAAGTGGGTTCCAGGGACCACTGTGTCACGTTGCTATGGTTGCGGCAGGGATATAGAGAACCCTCCTCACTCCATTCCTGATGACCTTGTCGTAGTTTACCGAGATCATCGGCAATATTGTGAAAGAGAAACAGGGCAAACCCGCTTCACTGCAGAACCCCAAAATGTCCATTTTCACCTCAGAATGGCATGTATAAGAACACGGTATCCGGAATTTCCAGCTAGTGCCCTTGTTGTTCCTGCCAATTTTCGCCAACATTTTCGACAGGAACACGTTGAGAGATTGAACGCGGAGTTTGGATTGACAATTTAGATAAGTGGAAGGCGGATAAGCTTACTTTCCATGGTATTCAACCTAGCTCTTCATTATCAGGCTATATAGCATTCAACACTGGTATTTCCGCAGTATTAACTATTAACAATAATCTGACAGCAGGAATGAGACCTGATTAACATAGTTTAGTTCTTATAACTGAAAGCACATAATAGTTTTTTAGTTTTCACGAGTTTTCGGTTGTAGCACTAATTTTGATATATTTCATTATAATATTGGTCCAGGTCAAAAACAGCATTTTTTAGAATCATATCGTCTGAAAATTGTTCAGGGTGAAACTCATTCAGTATATAAAAACAAGTGTGCACGTGATAGCTTTGTGCATGCGCATCACCTAGAACAGTAGATGTCTTGAGAACGTGATACAGTAGAATTTTGCTAACTCGAAGAGTTATTCCATTAAAATGCACCGCAATGGCTTAAAGTAACAGAAATCCCTGTTAACCGAACATGTGCTAACTTGAATAATCTTCGCCTCTCATTCGAGATAGCGAGATTCTACTGTATAATAGATGGCACTTTGCATGTATGATTATTTTAACAATAAAAGACCGTTTCTGTGGGATATACCGCTGAAACAAAGCCGAATATAAGATGGGAGCCATTCGCGGCTAACGATAAACAGTGCTTGTAATTCAACTTTATTCTATTTACGAAAATAGCAATGAATTATCATAGATCATAATAAATTAAACATAGTAGAATGTGTGCACGATATAAATTTGTTGAATGTGTATAGTTCAGCTGCTTTTTCGTTTTTTGTAATTTGTACTTTGTAGATACACAAAGCTTTCGATCCGTGATCGAGGCCTACAGAGTATAAATTATATTTTTTTCACCATGCAAACATGCAAAGAACTTATTCGTTTTTTAAAATGTTTTTTATGATTGCCGTTCGCGTTCCCACTTCCGTTCCCACTTCCGTTCCCATTCCCCGTTCCCATTCCCCGTTCCCATTCCCCGTTCCCATTCCCCGTTCCCATTCCCCGTTCCCATTCCCCATTCCCCGTTCCCATTCCCCGATTCCCCGTTCCTTGTTTTAAAGATAGCCCTTCATGGTGTTAATTCAGCACCCAAATTGGTGTTAGATTAACACTTTTTATTTAACACCACCACAAGGTGTCATTTTAACACCTACGAAGGTGCTATTTTAACACCTTCAAATTAACAGTGTATATATATATATATATATATATATATATATATATATATATATATATATATATATATATATATATATATATATATATATATATCTTATATATATATAAGATATATATATATATATATAAGATATATATATATATATATATAAGATATATATATATATATATATATATATATATATATATATATATATATATATATATATATATATATATATATATATATATATATATATATATATATATATATATATATATATATATATATATATATATCTATATCTATATATATATATATATATATATATATATATATATATATATATATATATATATATATATATATATATATATATATATATATATATATATATATATATATATATATATATATATATATATATATATATATATATATGTTCAATTGTTATTGAAACTTGCTTGTCGCACTGGCAATTTCAATGTTGCCTGGGTCAAGTTCAATCTTTTTTCGTAGTGATTTAGGGCCACGAACACACAAGATGGCAGAACGTACTAGGGCAAAAGATAGTTTTAAACACTCAACCTGAATCCGCAGTATCGGATTACATCGAAGGGAAGCGTTTTTTTATACCGGATTGGGATGTTGTTTACACTACACCATAGTAATCCGGTACGTGATACGGAGCAAAAATCATTCCCCTTTGGAGGTGATATGAAAAGTGATCTGGTACAGTGTAAACGGGGCCTTCGTCTGGCTTCTTTGCCGTCTGCAATAAAACGAAATAAACGAAATTTTGTATTTCGAATAAAACGAAGTTTGTAATAAAAAGTCAAGAAAAAGGTGTTAGACTTTTCACTTCTTCAAACGCAGCGTCTGATAAAATTCTCAGACTGTCAATCATAAATTAGAACGCACTCTAGCGTCATGCTGTCGTACATAGAATACTATATTTACATGCGAGTTTTTACTTTTTTTTCGATAATAGTCGTGTGTTGTTCAGAATATTTGTTGGTCGGACATTTATCAAATTTAGTCGGACGTTTACCGATGTCCGACAGTAGTTTGCAGCACAAAATCCAAAAAATAAGTGCTGCCGGAGTTTTGCCGGAGCTGAACAACCTCCGGCTCCGGCAAATAGGCCAAAACTCCG